CAATGAATGTGTATTATAGTTTAAATGTATGTTAAATGCTTTTCTGACCCACTTATGTAGGACGTCAGTACATTTTTATTTGTAACTTCATAATTACATTGTTTTTGAAATATGGTTAAAGTGTACTGCCCAATGTAATGACAAGCATTTATGGTAAACTAAAATAATTTTATTGTAATTTCTATTGAAACAGGTATGTCATCTATTTTGTAATTGCACATTTGTAATGATGAAGTAGCAATTTTAGAATTGTTAAACATTACTTCAAGTGTAATATCAAATAACAGTCTTAGTATTTCCACAAAATATTAAGCAACAAAAACTTTTTTTTAACATTGATAATAATAAGAATCATTATTAGTAACTGAGCATCAGTAATAATTAAGCAGCAAATCAGCACATTAGAAGGATTTCTGAAAGGCTCATGTGACACTGAAGACTGGAGTAATGATGCTGAAAATATTGCTTTGCATCACAAGAATAAATTTCATTTTAAAATATATTCAAATAGAAAATAGTTATTTCAAACTTTAATAACATTTCACAATATTACAGTTTCTACTGTATTTTTGATCAAATAAATGCAGTCTTGGTGAGCAAACATTTTTTTAGTCCAAATTCTGGAATATTTTGGAATGTATATATTAGTGCACAAGATGGATTCGCTGCTTTCATAATACATTTATGTTGGCTTTGTGTCCTTACAAGCTTCACTCCCCATTCATTGTACTGTAAATGTGAATTTATGTAAAAGCACAACCAGCATATTCTTCCAAATATATCATTTGTGTATTCCATTGAAGAAAGAAAGTCATTCAGGTTTGGAATGACATGAATGTGAGTAAATGAAACGCTGCAAGAAATCACAATACACCTGCACTGTAATCATATGATATTTTGCTTCCTCAGCAGTCATTCCCTCCTGATCGTTTTTTATCACTGTAGTACAGAGTCTTGAGTGCGTCTCTTCCTCTTTGTACGCACTGATAAACAAGACTTGGCCAATGGACTTCTGCATGTACAATGATACCAAGAGACATTTAAAGAGAGGTATGGTTAATGACTGCTTGACCTGTTTTCCGCTCCATTGCATGAATGATCTGTAATAAAATTACAAAAGCTTATCCAGACACACACACACACAGCCTTACAGGTCCACTCGGCCTAAGTCAAGGGGGGTCACCTTTTCCAGCTGACATAGTTAAAGGAAGATGGCACAATCCTGCTGCATAAAAAAGAGTTGAGCAAGAGTTGTCCATGCGTAACAGTAGTGAACGCTTGTGCTCACAGACCTGCTGTGCGTGCAGGAGGACAGGCTGTTCAATGGAGAAAAAGTGGGCCTATAATGCTTTCTGTCCCATTGTCTTGTATGAAATATAATACAATGATGATTTAAAGCAATAAATTGCATGTTGTGAGTGTATAATCTTTTATTAGCATAAAGGCCCCCCAAAAATTTAGTTTGTTTCTTTATGGGGACAGATTTGGAGAAATGTAGCATTCCATCACTTGTTCACCAATTTATCCTCTGCAGTGAATGAGTGCCGTCAGAATGAGAGTCCAAACAGCTGATAAAATAAATTCATCATAAGACATTTTAACTTTAAACCATCACTTCCGGCTAAAATTCAAGTCTTTTATCCATAATACTGCTTTCTCCAGTAAAAAAAAGTTGTCTAATCTGAATCAGGAGAGAAATATGCACAGATCAAGCACTGTTTACAAGCAAAAAAAGTCCAAAACAGTTCTAAACAAATATATTGATGTTGATGTGGGAGAACAACAGTGGATGGACTTTTTCACTAGGTTTATGGATTGGTCTTTTAGCCTGACGCGATGGCTTAAATTTACTGCAAAATGCCTTCATGATTGATTTGTTTCTTAGAAACAGGCAGCTTTTCACTTCACAAGACATTAATTGATGTACTGAGTAAATTAGTACGGTTTCTAAAAAACATTAAAAAAAAATTTAAAATCATTTTGGTTGTGAACTATTCCTTTTCACATTTTTTACAAGATAATGATAACAATTTGATAAACATAAAATGTTATAATTTTGTATTTAAAACTATTTTTGAATGTGACTTACAAGTCCAGTTACTACAGTCATGGCCAAAAGTTTTGGCAGTTTTTTGTACTGAAAAACAATGATTCCTCTGCAGTGAATGTGTGCCGTCAGAATGAGAGTCCAAACAGCTGATAAAATAAATTCATCATAAGACATTTGAACTTAAAACCATCACTTCCGGCTAAAATTCAAGTCTTTTATCCATAATACTGCTTTCTCCAGTAAAAAACAGTTGTCTAATCTGAATCAGGAGAGAAATATGCACAGATCAAGCACTGTTTACAAGCAAAAAAGTCCAAAACAGTTCTAAACAAATATATTGATGTTGATGTGGGAGAACAACAGTGGATGGACTTTTTCACTAGGTTTTATGGATTGGTCTTTTAGCCAGAAGCGATGGCTTAAATTTACTGCAAAATGCCTTCATGATTGATGTGTTTCTTAGAAACAGGCAGCTTTTCACTTCACAAGACATTAATTGATGTACTGAGTAAATTAGTACGGTTTCTAAAAAACATTAAAAAGTCCAAAACAGTTCTAAACAAATATATTGATGTTGATGTGGGAGAACAACAGTGGATGGACTTTTTCACTAGGTTTATGGATTGGTCTTTTAGCCTGACGCGATGGCTTAAATTTACTGCAAAATGCCTTCATGATTGATTTGTTTCTTAGAAACAGGCAGCTTTTCACTTCACAAGACATTAATTGATGTACTGAGTAAATTAGTACGGTTTCTAAAAAACATTAAAAAAAAATTTAAAATCATTTTGGTTGTGAACTATTCCTTTTCACATTTTTTACAAGATAATGATAACAATTTGATAAACATAAAATGTTATAATTTTGTATTTAAAACTATTTTTGAATGTGACTTACAAGTCCAGTTACTACAGTCATGGCCAAAAGTTTTGGCAGTTTTTTGTACTGAAAAACAATGATAAGCATATCATAAGTTTTAAAGGCTTTTATTGGCAAAAAAATATATACTGGGTCAATATTTACAATGTTGACCCTTGTTCTTCATAACCTCTGAAATTCGCTCTGGCATGCTGGATATTAGCTTCTGGGCCAAATCCTGACTGATGGCGATCCATTCTTGTCTTATTAGTTCTCGGATTTGATCACAATTTGTGGGCTTCTGCTTGTCCACTAGCCTTTTGAAGACTGACCACAGGTTCTCTATGGGATTGAGATCCGGGGAGTTTCCTGGCCACGGATCCAAAATTTCAATGTAATGATCTTGGAGCCACTTCTTTATCACTCTTGCTTTGTGACATGGTGCTCCATAATGCTGAAAAATGCACGGATCATCACCAAATTGCTCATGGATCGTTGGAAGAAGTCGC